GATTATTATTATTATAATCACGGGGGAAGCGCTAAACCCGGAGGATTATACAGCACCTGGGGGGGGATGTGGAAGGCATTCAGGCTTAATTTGGGGAACTAGAGCACAGATCCAATTCCCTAAATCAAGAGCCCCTCACCAACATCAAGGAACCTTTCTTGAGGGGGTCGTAAGTCAAGATGGATGCAAATCGAACCTTAGAAAATTGCTGACACACTGGGCAGGGCATAATGTCAAACTTTTGCTATATAAAGTACCTACACAGTATCATATGTTACTTTTTACTAATGTATATCAACATCACAGTTATTGTAATGATTTTATTTTGTTTTATTTTTGTATTTGATTTTTTACTTTACTTTTTATGCTTTTAGTACTGTATTTTATAGTGTAAGGTTTAGGAGAAACACTGTGTATAACACAAACAGTTGTTTATTTCCGAGAACATCTACATACAAAACAATGTGTTCGAATTCACTCTGAAGTAAGAAACTGAAAACATTTGTATGCATGAAAATCAAAATTACATAAATTACATTTGTATGCACATAAATCAAAATTACATAAATTCAAAAAACAGAAAAAAAAGGAAACGAGGAAATTTTAATGAAATATAAATGAAATAAAAATAAGTATTCAGACACATTTACAGCCCACTAGTGCTTGGTTGGTGATCTATGCTTTCTTCCTCTGAAGGGGTAGGGGTGGGAGGAGGTGGGGGAGCACTCTTCTTGATGAACATTCTGAGATTTGTTTGAATTTCCCTTTTTTTCTTCGTAAATTTCTCTGTATGGACGCACTGCGTCCGTTCCATTCTCTCAATCTTGACAAACCATTCAATGTTAGGGTCCATATTCTCCAATTTTCATAGCCCCTGGTTTATCAACGAAAAACATGGTGATAATTCCTTCACCGAGAACTTTCTGGCTCCTCTTCTTATTTTTTCTTCTTCTGTCTTTGTTCTTCTCTATTATCAGAAGTTCTTCATTCATTAACTCTTGAACTTCTGTCAAAAGTTTTTCAACATCATCCACATCACATTCAAGTTTAAGTTCGTTAGCCAATTTTAAAATCTCACCTCTCACCATGCTTAATTCTTCTTTGCTGTCAAAGCCATGAAAATCTTGAAAAAGTGCTCATTACACTGCTTCCAGATGCTGTCCATACACTTAGCTGTGACCAACTCCCATGCTTTTGCTATGTTTTTGATGCACTGATAAATGTTATGCTCCTTCCAAAAATCTCTTAAAAGTTAGTTCTGGGTCTAAATCTATGACCTCGATAGCTTGATCAAAAGATATGCACAGATTAGTGCACTTTAAATGTTGAAATAACCCCCTGATCCATGAGTGGGGTGTGTTGGGGCGGCATAAACACCACTCATACATTAGGATCTAGATCTTCCAAGTGAGGAGGGTGGGCAGGTACACTGTCTAAAATTAAAAGAATTTTGAAAGGGATTCCTTTTTCCTGGCAATAATGGCATGCAGCTGGGATGAAACAGTTTAAAAACCAATCCTCAAATAAGTCCATTGTCATCTGTGCCTTGCAATTGTATCGATAATGCACAGGAAGTGTATGCTTGTTAACGTTTTTGAGAGCACAAGGGTTCTCGGCCATGTAAATTAAGAAGGGTTTTACTTTGAAACCAGCAATATTCCTCCCAAGCAACAATGAAACCCTCTGCTTCATAACCTTATGCCCTGGCACACTCTTCACTTCCTTAGATACGTATGTTACTTTAGGCATTTTATCCAGTACAGGCCAGTTTCATCAACATTAAATACTTGTTCTGGCAAATACCCTTCTTCTTTTATTAAATTATCTAACTCACTAGTGAAGTTTCTTGCACCTTCTTCATCACAACTAGGTGAATTTGGCATCGCTGACGAAATCTCCTAAACCACCCATCACTTGCAATAAATTCTTGATTATACCCCTCACCAGCAAGTTGTATCAACATGTTAAACAAACTTTTCACTTTTCTTTGCACTTCAGAAACATCACATTCACTTTTTTTTGCCGATAATCTTCTAACCAAACAGTGAGCATTTTTTCCATCTGTGCAACTGGGTCTCCACGTTTCTTTGTGATAATTGTCGACTTCATAAGGGCCAAAGATTTCACTGCTTCTTTGATGTGCTCTTTATCTTTAAGTATCTTTAAGTATTGTTGATATAGTGGAATGGGAGAGCTGAAGATCATGAGAAATGCTGTTGACGTTTTTCCATCCTCATACTGTTTAATTACTTTCATCTTCTGGTCGAGAGTAAGAACCTTTTTGCCTTCTTGCCACAAGCTCCAGTGCAAGATTCAGGCTTCATCTTAGAGGCCATGGTGAAATTTACTTTCCAGGTACATATATACAGTACAGTACAATTAATACAGTATGATGCTGCTGATAGGGCAGGGGAACTCAAAGTGATGCTGCCAGAGTGATGTGAGAGCCCTCCCAAGATGGTGTGTTGCCGCAAGTAGCGGTCAACTGTCATACGGCGGTATGCATTGCCTCGCCCAGCCCTAGTGCCAGACGTACGGTCATAGGTACGAATGGTCGTACGTTGAGCAGGTCATAAGTCGGATGGTACTAGTAGTATATTTAGCAGGGATAGGGTCAAATCTAAATGTCCAAGTACAGTAATCCAGAGAAAAAATAAAATTAAAATGAATATACATATATTTATTTTTGGACATTCAATTACAAATGAAATAATACAAAAGCTACAAATACAAAGTTTAAAGTATAAATCAAAAATTAGTTTCCAAATATACACTGCAATTACAAATACAGTGGTCCCTCAATAATCGGCCGGCCTGAAAGTCGTCCATTTCGGAAATAGTCCCGTTATTTCGTCTAAACATTGGCTCGCAAATGGTCCGTTAACTCGCTAATCGTCCTTCGTCCGGGACGCGTACTCACGCTCTGAGCCGCCTGGGCCTGCCTTCCCAGCCAGTGTGCCATTGTTTACCAGTGAGCGACGGTCCCCTCACTTGCTCCTATGAAATATTTCATAATATTCCATTGATTTTAGTGCTTGCAAGTGCTAAATAAGCTACCATGGCTCCAAAGAAAGCTTCTAGTGCCAGCCCTTTGGTAAAGAATGTGAGAAACACATATAATTTATGAAAAAGTTTGTAGAAAAATACAAAGGTAGTGGTGGTAGAGTGGGAGCAGTTGTGATAGTGGTTGATGGTGGTAGTGGTGGTAGTGATGGTGGTAGAAGGTAGTAGTGATGGTGGTAACAGTTGTAATAGTGGTAGAAGGTGGTAGTGATGGTGGTAGAGGGCTCCTTCTTTAGTGATTCAGCGATTCTACCAACTCCTCCAATGTTGTTGGAGTTATATAGGGCTACAGAAAACACCACCGCCTCAGCTGCTGCTTCACCACAATTATGGACGGCTTACTCTCAGTGGCCCTTATAGACCTAACAACAACACAACACCTCTCGTGACATACATAATGACTTATTTTACTCATTCTAGAGTATATTCCATGTTTCTATGTTATTAATATTGTTTATTATGTCATATTAGTTGAATTGTGATAGATAAATAACCCGTAGAATTGATATTAGTGTCATATTCACACAAACAAGTCTCCAATAAGAACATAAGAAAGGAGGAACACTGCTGTTGGCCCATACTAGGCCGGTCCTTCACAAATCCAACCCACTAACAGAACAAATGCTACCCAAGCAATAAGCTCAGGTGCAAGCCTGACTCAAATCCAACCCCTCTCACTCGTGTATTTCTTCTTCTTTCTTTCAACACACCGGCCGTATCCCACCGAGGCGGGGTGGCCCAAAAGGAAAAAACGAAAGTTTCTCCTTTTACATTTAGTAATATATACAGGAGAAGGGGTTACTAGCTCCTTGCTCCCGGCATTTTAGTCGCCTCTTACAACACGCATGGCTTACGGAGGAAGAATTCTGTTCCACTTCCCCATGGAGGTAAGAGGAAATAAACAAGAACAAGAACTAGAAAGAAAATAGAAGAAAACCCAAAGGGGTGTGTATATATATGCTTGTACATGTATGTGTAGTGTGACCTAAGTGTAAGTAGAAGTAGCAAGACATACCTGAAATCTTGCATGTGTATGAGACAGATAAAAAAAAGACACCAGCAATCTTATCATCGTGTAAAACAATTACAGGCTTCAGTTTTACACTCACTTGGCAGGACGGTAGTACCTCCCTGGGCGGTTGCTGTCTACCAACCTACTACCTAGAACTTATGTATTTATCCAACCTAAATTTGAAACTACCCAATGTTTTAGCTTCGATCACCCTACTAGGCAGACCGTTCCACTCATCAACTACCCCTATTGAACATCAAAATGGTATGCAATACCGACAGGTTGGTAGGTAAGACACATAGGCAACAGTTAGGCAACTTTATTCCGAAACGTTTCGCCTACACAGTAGGCTTCTTCAGTCGAATACAGAAAGTAGGCAGGAACAGTAAAGATGTGAGGACGATGTAATCTGTCCATCACCCTTGAAGTCGTAGAATTTGAGGTTGTCAGTCCCTCAGCCTGGAGAAGTTCAGTTCCATAGTCAGGAACTATCTGAAGATCAAGCGACAGTGCGGAGACTTACTAAGCCTGTGTGTCGTACCTACCAACCTGTCTGTATTGTATACCTTTTTGATGTTCATCTTGTCAGACACTGCAACACATGGCATCTTGGTACAGAAAACACCTTGGACAACCTTTTCAAGTGAGAATTGTTGGATCTGAGAGGGACATGACCTCTCAGTGGCTACATTCTCACTACTACTACTACTCTGCACCTCTCCTTCCGACAGTATTTAAGTCTCCGCACTGTCGCTTGATCTTCAGATAGTCCCTGTCTATGGAACTGAACTTCTCCAGGCTGAGGGACTGACAACCTCAAATTCTACGACTTCAAGGGTGATGGACAGATTACATCGTCCTCACATCTTTACTGTTCCTGCCTACTTTCTGTATTCGACTGAAGAAGCCTACTGTGTAGGCGAAACGTTTCGGAATAAAGTTGCCTAACTGTTGCCTATGTGTCTTACCTACCAACTACCCCTATTACCAATGTTCATTTATACATTTTATTAGTGCTTTACATTTATTTGGCATTTTTTTCTGCATGTAAATCTATACTTATGCTAGGGAAGTGACCCCTGAAGTGACCTAGAGTCACTATGGAGGGGGATTCCCCTTCCAAACAATAACCTCTCTTCCCTCTCTCCTCCTCCCCGTCTTCCATTCATCAACAACAGCCTTCAACAAAGGTAACTGTCATGCTGAATGTTCATTCTTTTGTGCATGTAAATCTATCTTTTAGGTAAAAAGAAAATTGTTGTCGATACTTCTGGGTGTCTGGAACGAATTAATTGGATTTACATAATTTCTTATGGGGAAAATTGATTCGAAAATCGTCTATTTCAATAATAGTCCCACTTCCAGGAACGGATTAAGGACGATAATTGAGGGACCACTGTATATATAAAAGGTATTTTACCATAATTTTTGTGTAAGATGCAGAAAATTTAATTTTCAAATATTCTTAAGCACTTCTAGTGATGGAGAGAAATTTTGAAGAAATTTAATACCCTGAATGCCACCACCATCAATAAAGTCCGGAAGGAAGAGACAACTGCTATAATAACCAATACATGGAAGCAATTGTGGCCTGAATATGTTAATGCTTTCCATGGCTTTGACAAATTATTTGCAGATACAGTATTCACAAGGGGTAAACATACTGTGGGAATAAGTTAAATTTTTGTGATGTAAGATTGGCATAACATTCAACAAAGATGCCTATAAATTTAAACATAATACAATAGGGTTTGAGAAGTCATACAGGTACAGAGTAGGATGTGGGATGACTGGGTGCCTTGTGAAGGCTAGTTAAGTTTGTTGTAGCTATGGAAAACCTGAAACCATGAAGTAGCCCAGTTGTGTGATCTGTAGTATGCTGTAAAATGGTCATTAAAACTGACAACTAAACTGCCTTTGTCCTTGCGGGAAGAACCAAGGCAGATTCATTTATAGCTATTAGGAATAAGGATGCAGCCCTTCTGTATGCCTTTACACAAAATCAGGAGAAAAACTTATTCACTTGAACCATACAGCACTTTTCAAGTAGAAAATTTTTAAGGAAAAGAGATAGTCAGTCATGAAGGCCTAATGGGTGTGGTTAATGCTATGGGTCTCTAATATATATACTGTATGTGTATGGTGTGAGGTAATCAGAAGTATATTCCTCTCTTCTATGTGCAGATTATTTGTGTATTGTGTATATTCAGAGGGCTGAGAAAGGGTTGTTGAAATTTGTACTTTGTTATGCACTCCATAGTACAAGATCGAGTTGGAAGCTCAGCAGCACTTGGAAGAGAAAAAAATGGAAGAAGTACAAAAGTTCACTGTAAAGGGGTTAGCTGGTGTATTCTCGAAAGTAAATGTGACTATACTAGAACTAGAGGGTATGGACCTGAATGTTGAATGGTTCACAAAAGTGGAATGGCAAATGGACGAACATTTATGATGCCATCATTAAATTTATGAAGAAAAAAGAAAATTACAAAGCAGACCACACTAATGGAATTCTTCTCAGAAGATACAACCTGGACCCCTACAAGTCCTTCCAGTTCTTCGTCCTCTACAGCTGATAACCCTGCAAATTAAAACAAAGTTATCAAGTTGGAATTTCCTTTAGATCTTTTCTTTATTTAGAATAATTAAAAATGATTACCTGTATTTACAGTATGCAAATCTATGTATATTAGAGCTGATTTCCTCTATTTTGTTTATACAGTATACAGTACATTACTGTATAAACATTTAAAAATATACTAAAAATGCTATAAATGGTGCAATGGCAACGGTAAAACAATATCTAAATATAGTTGACACAAACCCATTACCAGTACAGTATGCTTAAAATATCAGTAACAGGCGGCTCCTCGCTTATTGACCAATTTGCTTAACGACCAAGTCGTAGGAATGGAACTCAGTCATTAAGTGAGAAGTGCCTGTACTGTATATTTGATCATGCATCTCTCCTCCCTTCTAGTGAGTACATATTTAGGACTTTTAGGTGTTCCTAACAGATGCTTTATTGGCTCTATGCAGGACAAAAATGACCTTTGAATCTGTTCCAGCTCTGATATCTCCTGCCCTGAAAAGAGCCATCAACACTGAAAAGCTCTCTCAACACGAGTGCACAAGCAATTTGAAGTGTCACCATGACTGGCATTATTTCACATAGCTGACATTAATACACCTAGATCCTTCACATGTTCTTTACTATATAAACCTGTGGCTGAGGGAAGGCTAGGGGGCATCTAAGGAAAGACTGGAGAGAGGGCAGTAAAGGAGGTGTTGTGTGCAAGGGGCTTTGACATCCAACAGGCTTACGTGAGCATGTTTGATCTGTGTGAAGCCAAGTAGTTTTTATAATCTGGTGTGTTGGTGGAATGTGAGCAAGGTAACAGTTATGGAGGGATTCAGAATTACCAGTTAGCTGTACTACAGTCCTGGAGGTGGAAAATATGGTGCATCACTCTGAAGGAGAGGTGGGGATCTTACAGGCTGGAAGATCAATTGAACTGCACTGACAACACATTTTTGGCAAAACAGTGATTGAATGATGGAGAGTTTCTTCCTTTTCAGGTCACCCTGCCTAGGTAGGGAATAGCTGAAAAGTTTAAATTAAAACAAATTCTCATGTTCATAAGACCTGTGTAAGTACTGCATGCATTGAAATTTTAGATAACTACTGGATAATGTTTAACAAGGGATTTGATCATTTAGGCTTAAAACTATTTTAATTACTGCCAGATATCACTTCAATAATAAACCTGTAAATGACTTTCAAATGTATTTATATTACTCTAAACCTTTTTTTTTTTTTTTTAAGAAAAACTTTAAAGAAAGTTTTTGAAATGAAACATAACAAACACTAAACACAGCATAATGGCAATTTTTTTTAAAACTCATTATACCATTGTAATTTCTAAAACTGCATATTTACTTTAAACAACAGGTCAGATATGGTAAAAAAAAAATCCTAAGTGCATACTGCCAGTCCTACCCCTATACACTTGATATTAGTTGTCTCATACAAAGCAAGATTTGATGCATATTTTCTGCCATGTAGTTTCTCTCCTTATTATCTACCATAATGTTAAGCATCATACTTCAAAATCACATTTTCACCTTTTGGCAATTTTCATCAGATTATGATTGTCTTCCAAGTAATTTTACTTCTCCAAGAGGAAAAAAAAAAGATAAATAATAAACCTACATTATTTATAGTTAAGGAGTACATACCTCATTTAGGTCGTACATTACAAGTTTTCACAGTGGTTTCCTATCCTGTTGCAGTACTTTCCCTCTGGTTAAAATTTCTGCATATTACTCTTAATTAGTCACTTAATACTATTTTTAGGAAAAATCACTCAACTTCACTGTGCCTTGCCTAAAATTCTTTTCTCTTTTTGTCATGCACTAAAGTGTAGGGTAAAATAAATTCCGTACTGACGTAAGTTATCCACTTGCCATTCAATTTCTGTCTCCAGAAAACCTTTGTCAATCCAACAACAAAGTAAACTTAAGTCCCATGTATAAAGTTAGAGCCAGAAACGAATGTCTTGGCTTGCCTGGCTGGTAAGGTAATGGTTGTATTGGTGGAAGTGATAATCCCACAAACTCTATAATTTCCTGATATTTTTAATTTACAATAACATTTGTCTGGCTCTTAAGTAGTCTATAAGCATAAGGATTAGTCTGCCAGAAATGCACTACATGTTAGTGGCTTTCTTTTGTGCCTAACAATATTTTATTAAATGTAAACTACATTTTGTTCGCCTAACGACCTACCTGTTTAACCCTTTCAGGGTTGGTCCTGTACATATATGGCTTGAAAGCCAGGGTTGGTCCCATACTTGTCTGCCAAAATTCTAGTGCCTTTAAATCTGGTGGAAGAAAGCTGGTAGGCCTACATATGAAAGAATGGGTCTGTGTGGTCAGTGTGCACAGTATAAAAAAAAATCCTGCAGAACGCAGTGCATAATGAGAAAAAAAACCAACTCGACAGCGTTTTTGGCTTAAAACAACGACTTTGCAGTGTATTTACATGTGGTATTTATGGTAGTAGTCTCATTTTCCTGGTCTCATTTGATAGAATTGAAGATATATTACAGAAATAGAGATGAATTTGATTGGTTTCGCGAAGAAAAGTACCTTGAAATTGAGCTCAAAGTAGCAGAAATATTTGATTTTTGCCAATGTTCAAGAGTAAACAAATCATGCCACACGTCCAATACACATCAGCTGGTGAGTCTAATATTCTTCTACAACTGTGCTGATATTATTTATACCATTTTTACAATAATGCAGTAGTCTGCATAACTAAATTTTCTATTTTTTTGTGAGAAGAAAAATAAAAAAAGGAAAGAAAGTGTAATATAAGAGGGACCTGGAGACGTGACTAATGAATAGAGAAAATGTTATTTTAGTGCCAGGAATGCGTGTCTTGTTTATTCTGTACCCTATTTTGAAATTGGCATCTTTTGAAATTTGTGTGAAATTGGCCAAATTGCCAATTTCTGACCACTTTATTTGGTAGTTGAAATCGGTAAATGGGCAGTTTCTTGTACTCAATCGACAGAACAAATGGAGTTCTAGCGAAATAGCTATGATTTTAGTCTACTGGAACAATGGAATTAGCCGAAAATAGGGCTCAAAGTGGGCAAAATCAGTGATGCATAAATATCGCAGATATCGCTAACTTTGCGAGAGCGTAATTTCTTAAGTTTTCCATCAAATTTCATACTTTTTGGTGGTATTACCATCGGGAAGAGATCTCTATCAATTCACAAGCATTTATTTTTTTTTTTTTGTGTGTGTGTGGGGGGAGGGGTTCAACCCTGAAAGCGAGTTAAGGATCGGGGGTCTTGATCCTCAAAGGATTAACGACCGCTCAGACTTATGACCAGCTCTCTGACCAGTGTACTGTATGTGTATTTTAGTTTTTTATTGTTTTTAATGCCTAGTTCTATTTTTAATACAGCTTCTCCTCACTTAACAATGGAGTTTTGTTCCTAAGACCACGTTAGTAAATGAATTCATCGCTGAGTGAGGAGCATACTACAATAGTAGCAGGTTTGTGTCAACCATCTTTGGTATTGTTTTAATGTCACCTTTGCACCATTCATAACATTTCTGGTATATTTTTAATTGTTTATACCATTGTGTACTGCCTATTACAATAAACAGAATAGAGGAAATCAGCTCTAATATACATACATTATTTAGGTATGTGTACTGATCAGAGAGCCTGTCGTAAGTCTGAGCCGTCGGTAAACGAGTACGTTGCTAAGTGAGGAGAGGTTGTATACTAAAAATGTTATGAATAGTGCAAAGGTGACATTAACCCCTCGACTGTCGCAACCCCAAATCCTGAGGTGTCTCCTGGTGTCGCAAAATTTAACCCTTTGACTGTCGCGGCCGTATATATACGTCTTACGAGGTACCGTGTTTGACGTATATATACTCATAAATTCTAGCGGTTTCAAATCAAGCAGGAGAAAGCTGGTAGGCCCACATGTGAGAGAATGGGTCTGTGTGGTCAGTGTGCACCATATAAAAAAAATCCTGGAGCACACAGTGCATAATGAGAAAAAAAAACTCCGACCGTTTTTTTTTTAATTAAAATGCCGACTTTGTGGTCTATTTTCGTATAGTATTTAAGTTGTATTCTCGTTTTCTTGGTCTCATTTGATAGAATGTAAAACATATTATAGAAATAGAGGTGATTTTGACTGATTTTACTATAAAAAGAATCTGGAAATGGAGCTCAAAGTAGGGGAAATGTTTGATTTTTGCCAATGTTGAAAAGTAAACAAATGATGCCATTGTCCAATAAATGTCCAACTAGCCATTCTAATATGCAGTCATGAATGGGTTGATGTTATTTATACAATTATTACAGAATTGCAGTAGTCTGCATAATAGTAAGTCTTCTATTTTTTGTTTGAATAAAAATTCAAAATGGAAAGCAAGAGTAATAACAGAGGGGCCTGGAGACATGACTGATGAGCAAAGAAAATGTTATTTTAGAGCCAGGAATGTCTGCATTGTTCATTCTGAACCTTATTTTGAAACTGTCATATTTTTTAGTTTTCGTGAAATTGGCCAAATTATGCACATTTTGATTTCATGACCACAATATAAATGGAGTTCTAAAGTGGGGCTGAACAAATCGAGCCCGAATTTTGTAAACAGCGCCGAGGTCGCTAACTTCGTGAGAGCATAATTCCGTCAGTTTTCCATCAAATTTCGTTTTTTTTGGTGTCATTACAATCGGGAAAAGATTCTCTATCATTTCATAAGAAAAATTTTTTTTTTTTTAAATTTTGCGACACTAGGAGACGCCTCAGGATTGGGGGCTGCGACAGTCAAAGGGTTAAAAAAAAAAAAAAAAAAAAAAAAAACTTATGAAATGATAGAGAATCTTTTCCCGAGTGTAATGACACCAAAAGAACAAAATTTGATGGAAAACTGACAGAATTACGCTCTCGTGAAGTTAGCGACCTCGGCGATATTTACGAATCTGAGATTTAGCCCACTTTGAGCCCTATTTTCGGCTAATTCCATTGTTTCAGTCGACCAAACTCATAGCTATTTCTTTAGAACTCTATTTTTTCTATCAATTGAGTATAAGAAACTGCCCATTTACTGATGACAACAACCCAATAACGTGGTCAGAAATTTGCAATTTGACCAATTTCATGCAAATTAAAAAACATGACAATTTCAAAATAGGATCCAGAATGAACAATGCAGACATTCCTGGCTCTAAAATAACATTTTCTTTGTTCATCAGTCACATCTCCAGGCCCCTCTGATATTACTCTTGCTTTCTATTTTCAATTTTCATTCAAACAAAAAATAGAAGATTTACTGCTATGCAGACTACTGCAATATTGTAATAATTGTATAAATAATGTCAACCCATTCATGACTGCATATTAGAATGGCTGCTTGGACATTTATTGGAAAATGACATCAATTGTTTACTTTTGAACATCGGCAAAAATCAAACATTTCCCCTACTTTGAGCTCCATTTCAAGGTTCTTTTCATAGTAAAACCAATCAAAATCACCTCTATTTCTATATGTTTTCCATTCTATCAATGAGACCAAGAAAATGAGAATACAACCATAAATACTATATGAAAACAGACCACAAAGTCGACATTTTAATTAAAAAAAAAAGCCAGAGTTTTTTTCACATTATGCCCTGCGTGCTACAGGATTTTTTTTATATGGTGCACACTGACCACACAGACCCATTCTCACATGTGGGTGCACCAGCTTTCTCCTGCTTGATTTGAAGCCGCTAGAATTTATGAGTATAAATATGTCAAAAACGTTGGCTCGTAAGACGTATATATACGACCAAAACAGTCAAAGGGTTAAAACAATATCTAAAGATGGCTGACACAAACCCACTACCAGTACAGTATTCTTGAAATATCAGTAAGGGGAGGCTCCTTGCTTATTCCTTTGACTGTCGCGGCCGTATATATATGTCTTACGAGGTACCGTGTTTGATGTGTACTCATAAATTCAAGCGGCTTCAAATCAAGCAGGAGATAGCTGGTAGGCCCACATGTGAGAGAATGGGTCTGTGTGGTCAGTGTGCACCATATAAAAAAAATTCTGGAGCACGCAGTGCACGAGAAAAAAAAACTCAGACCGTTTTTTTTAATTAAAATGCCGACTTTGTGGTCTATTTTCGTAAAGTATTTATGGTTGTATTCTCGTTTTCTTGGTCTCATTTGATAGAATGTAAAACATATTATAGAACTAGAGGTGATTTTGATTGATTTTACTATAAAAAGAATCTGGAAATGGAGCTCAAAGTAGGGGAAATGTTTGATTTTTGCCAATGTTCAAAAGTAAACAAATGATGTCGTTGTCCAATAAATGTTCAACTAGCCATTCTAATATGCAGTCATGAATGGGTTGATGTTATTTATACAATTATTACAGTATTGCAGTAGTCTGCATAATAGTAAGTTTTCTATTTTTTGTTTGAATAAAAATTCAAAATAGAAAGCAAGAGTAATATCAGAGGGGCCTGGAGACATGACTGATGAACAAAAAAAATGTTATTTTAGACCCAGGAATGTCTGCATTGTTCATTCTGGACCTTATTTTGAAATTGTCATATTTTTTAATTTTCATGAAATTGGCCAAATTGCAAATTTCTGACCACATTATTGGGTAGTTGAAATTGGTAAATGGGCAGTTTATTGTACTCAATCGATAGAAAAAATGGAGTTCTAAAGAAATAGCTATGAGTTTGGTCGACTGGAACAACGGAATTAGCCGAAAATAGAGCTCAAAATGGGCGAAATCGCCGATTTGTAAATATCGCCAAGGCCGCTAACTTCGCAAGAGCATAATTTCGTCAGTTTTCCATCAAATTTCATTTTTTTGGTGTCATTACAATCGGAAAAAGATTCTCTATCATTTCATAAGAAAAAATTATTATTTTTTTTTTTAATTTTGCGACACCAGGAGACACCTCAGGATTGGGGGTTGCAACAGTCAAGGAGTTAACAGCCAAAACTTGTGAAATTACATAGACGCAAAGTTAGCAGTGTGGGTGCAATTTACGAATCAGTGATTCTGCCCACCAAGTCCTAGTTTAAGTCAATTCTATTGCTCCATTTGATCAAATTCTTAAATTATTTTTGCTGGTATGTCTTCCATTTTATTGATTGAGCACAAAGAAACAACCCATTCAACTATTACAACTACCTTGTAAAATGTACAGAAGTCATTAATTTGGCCAATTTTACACAAATTTAAAAAAATACTAATTTAACCCTTTCAGGGTTTCGGCCGTACTAGTACGGCTTACGTGCCAGTGTCCATGACGTACTAGTACGCATAAATTCTAGCGCCTTCAAATCTAGTGAGAGAAAGCTGGTAGGCCTACATATGAAAGAATGGGTCTATGTGGTCAGTGTGCGCAATATAAAAAAAATCCTGCAGCACACAGTGCGTAATGAGAAAATAAAAAAAAAAAACTTTGACCGTGTTTTTGGATTAAAACAGTGACTTTGCACTATATTTTCGTATGGTATTTATGGTTGTATTTTAGTTTTCCTAATCTCATTGTATAGAATGGAAGACATATTACAGAAATTGAGATGATTTTGACTGGTTTTACAATGAAAAGTACCTTGAAATTGAGCTCAAAGTAGCAGAAATGTTCGATTTTTACCAAAGTTCAAAAGTAAACAAATCATGCTAAGCGTCCAATACACGTCAACTGGTGAGTCTAATATTCTTTCACAAGTGCGCCGATATTATTTATACCATTTCTACACTAATGCAGTAGTCTGCATAACAGTAAATCTTATTTTTTTTTGTGAAAATAAAAATTCTAAGTGGAAAGCAAAAGAAATGTAAGAGGGGCCTGGGGACGTGACTAATGAACAGAGGAAATATTATTTTAGTGCCAGGAATGTCTTTCTTGTTTATTCTGGACCATATTTGGAAATTGGCATCTTTTGAAATTTGTGTGAAATTGGCAAAATTGCTAAATTCTGACCACTATATTGGATACTTGAAATCGGTAAATTGGTGGTTTCTTGTACTCATTCAATAGAAAGAATGGAGTTCTAGCAAAATAGTTATGATTTTTGTCAACTAGTACACTGAAATTGGCCGAAAATAGGGCTCAAAGTGGGCAAAATTGCCGATGCGTGAACATCGTCGAGACCGCTAACTTCACGAGAGCATAATTCCGTAAGTTTTCCATCAAATTTCATACTTTTGGTGTCATTATGATCGGGAAAAGATTCTCTATCTTTTCATAAGAATTTTTTTTTTTTTTAAATTTGGGGGAACCCTAAGAACAAGTCTCTGAGAGGGCCTGTGGACCCTGAAAGGGTTAAAAATAGAGTCCAAAATAAACAAAGTAGTCATTCCTGGCACTGAAACATTTCCTCTGTTCATTAATTATATTTCCAGGCCTCTCCTCTAATACACTCTCATACTGATTAATAATCACACAAAAATAGAAGATTTACTCTTTCTCGGATAATAAAATGTAAACAGGAATGATTTGAATCAGACCTATCAAAAGCCCATAAAACAGACCGGGGGTGTAGGGAGGTCTTACGCATCCTCAGGAAAAGTGGCAAAAATTGAATATTTTTACTACTCTTGAGCCCATTTTCAAACTACAGTGGTACCTCGAATTTCGGCCATAATTCGTTCCAGAAGGTTGTTCGAATGCCGTTACCAAACGAATTTGTTCCCACAGGGAAGAATGTGAATTAGATTAGTCCATTTCAGACCCCCAAAAATACATTTACAAAAGCACTTACAAAAATACACTTACATAACTGCTCGAGTTGGGAGCTGTTCGAAATTCAAGGTACCACTGTACTTCCAGTCCTGAAACCAACCAAAATCATCTTTATTTCAGTAGTATGTGTTCCATTCTATCAGTTGATACCAAGAAGCAGCCAATAAAAACATAAAAACTATCCTAGAAAATACCTCAAACTTGCTATATTAAACCAAACACATTAGTTTTGTTTTTTCCATGCACCGCATGTGGCAGGAACTTTTGTATACTGTGCACTCACTGCACAGACCCATTCTCTCATATCTAGGCAAAAATATACTGCTTACAGCTTATCTGAGTGAGCCAGGCTCATGACAGAACTACATGAGGGACCTTGGCCTCAGTGATGTAGTTCTATGTGACTGCCACTGAAAGGGTTAATGTTTCTGAAAATTTATCAATTACTTGATCAAAGATTTTTCTAAATGAACAAAATTCACTTCAACAAACACTTACTTTAAAAATCTACAAGAAGAAGAGTCTGTCGCACAGCTTATTGTCAGGGTGCTTCTTGACACTTTCGCCAACCAAGAAAGCCAACTTGTGGGCATACTGAAATTAAACAGTACTAGTCTTTACATTCCATTGAAGAAATTCACATCTTCACATAATATGTGACTTAACAATGGTTTAACAAATGGCGATGCAAACTTGAACCTTCATTTATCTAATGCGTTAATGTTGTAGTGCAATTACAGTACCGTATCTACTTGAGTATGTCAGGGAGAGAGGGAAGGAACTCCAGCTCATGGTCCTACCTCTTAATTTTTAAATGGCAGCAGTGAAACAGCAGTCTATTCAATTTCTGAACCACTTGCTGGAAATCCACTTCTACTGTGTTTTTACTCGGTTCATACCACTCTTTTGTTTAAAAAATGTTTTCAGGTATCCTTGTGGCTCATTTGGGTGTGCAGATCACCCTCACTTTATGTAATAAATGCAAATTTACATAAGGGAACCCATTGCAACATATAAGGTATGGGAATCTATTCTGAGACTTCGTAAATTCCACATTTCTAAATTAATGTTTACAAAAAAAAAAAAATGAGCTCACCACACATGCACCAAATGGTCCATTAACAAGTCAAACTGAAGCAAGAAGGAAAGAAGTATTTTTTTCCCTTATTGCTTCAGTGTGACTTGTCAATGGTCCAGGTTGGACCGAAATGTCACAAGTTTTCCCCTCTTAAGTGTGGATTATTTGTGTATTGTTCCAGCTACAGTACTGTGATTATTTGAAACTATTAAAGAAAACATCTTAGAAAAGGAGAACTCATAATACAACAGATCATCAGAATGTAACAGATAAGGTAAGTGAACAATGAATGAATAAATAACATTCACTCACTAGATACATGTTACATAAAGAATGAAGTGGTGTAAAGTGAAGGAAAACTTAGGTGCTGACCTGACATGGAGCTGGGACACGGATTGTGCCAGGCCAGTTGTAATATAGGTGTGTTAGCTTATAGGTCAGACGCTGCATGTTGTCAACTTTCAACTTACCTCCATCATGTACAACAACATAATGGGTGGGAGACACTGTGCCCTAGTAAAAATATAAGAAAATTTATATTACTTAACATCTTACTGAAGGTCATGGGGCTAAAAGCTTCAAATTCAGATGAGAATAACAATGAATTAAAGTATCTTAAAGGAAGAAAGCAATGAATAACTCAGGAAAGAGATGTCAAAATAGGGAAGAGTAACTAGCAAAGTTCCACAAGGACTGGCATTAGGATCAGTACTGTTTCTGTTATGTGAATAACATTCCAGATGAGATTGGTTCAGATATATCCTGTTTGAGGATGATATAAAACTAATGAGGAGAATATAAACAGATGAGGACAAAGAATGGCTTAAAAGGGATTTGGGCACATTGCGAGTGGTCAAATGAATGGTTGTTTGAAATTCAACCCCCAGTAAATGCAAGGTCATGAGGATTGCGAAAGATGAATGTGAGCAGGGTAATATTTTGTGAAGGGATTCAGGGAAACCAGTTAGCAGGATTTGAGTTCTGGATTTACTTACTTGTCTTACATGTTGAGAAACAAGAAGGAAGTCATACCAACAACGGCGAGTGATTGTATGGTCAATGATGGAACCAGGTGGTGGATTTCCCAGTTCTCTAGAGCGCTACAAAATTAATATAGCATATGAAATATAATATATGAAAACCTTAAAATACAATCTCTTGCTTTAAGAATGTCTTCTTTGCAAGCCTAACTGGGAATGGCAAATTACTGATAGTAAGATATGCATAATCACTTCAACATTACTTCTTAACCCTTAAATGATCCAAATGTATATATACGTTTTTTCAACATCTGAAAGTATGTAAAAAAATGTAGATCTCCTTTTTTGTTTTACATTTGAAAACGTGTAAAAAACTTTTATCTACATTTTTGTTGTTGTTATATTTGAAAATATGTAAAAAAAGTAGATCTACTTTTGTAGCACTACGAATTTGAACGTCGATTTGTTTGGACTGTTTAAGGGTTAAATGTTAAAATATTTTATATCAGCACTATTTTTTCATTATTTCCACCTACACTTATCTCCAATTTTATTACCAAATGGGAACAATATAAATAATGATTATTTGTCAACATTTTCAAAATCAACTTACCATAGCTGCAAAGATCCTAGTATTCACCCTTTTCTGGACAACAATTAAATATAATTTAGGCTCATAAGAAGCAAAGTGATGAAAGATGGTGGCCAGTTGAGGAAGTTCATGATCTTCTACAAGTTTCAGCTGTCCCTCAGATACTCCATCACGATACATTATTATTGAACGAGGCAAGACATGGTACAGCTGAAGAAAATGCAAATGAAAAGCAGACTAATAAAGCCAGCCATACATGATGTACAAAGAAAGAAGCTGTTTTTAAAGTAATTTAAAATAGAATTGATGAGGGGAAAAGAGTGAGTGGTGCACTTAGGAGTCTGTGGAATGTGTGGTGTGAATATAATGCAGAGAATTCGTAGTTTGGAAGTTAGGAGGAGGTGCGGGATTACCAAAACTGTTGTCCAGAGGGCTGAGGAAGGGTTGTTGAGGTGGTTCGGACATGTAGAGAGAATGGAGCAAAACAGAATGACTTAAAGAGTGTATCAGTCTGTAGTGGAAGGAAGGCGGGGTAGGGGTCGGCCTAGGAAAGGTTGGAGAGAGGGGGTAAAGAGGTTTTTTGTGTGCGAGGGGCTTGGACTTCCAGCAGGCATGCGTGAGCGTGTTTGATAGGAGTGAATGGAGACAAATGGTTTTTAATACTTGACATGCTGTTGGAGTGTGAGCAAAGTAACATTTATGAAGGGGTTCAGGGAAACCGGCAGGCCGGACTTGAGTCCTGGAGATGGGAAGTACAGTGCCTGCACTCTGAAGGAGGGGTGTTAATGTTGCAGTTTAAAAACTGTAGTGAAAAGCACCCTTCTGGCAAGACAGTAATGGAGTGAATGATGGTGAAAGTTTTTCTTTTTTGGGCCACCCTGCCTTGGTGGGAATCGGCCAGTGTGATAATAAAATAAAATTAAAAGTACAGCATTCTAAAAATTATTAAATATGAAAAACAAATGTACAACAATGTACTGAAGACTATAGAGCACTTATGGATACAATTTTGAGAGAGACAAATACCATACATATTCAACTTTCCAGTACAAAAATGGAAAAATAGCATGTCACATTAGTATGAGTGCAGAATGACTTAAGCCAATATTAACCCTTTGACTGTTTCGGCCGTATATATATGTCTTACGAGCCAGTATATATACATAGATGTATATATACTCAATAATTCTAGCGGCTTCAAATCAAGCAGGAGAAAGCTGGTAGGCCCACATGTGAGAGAATGGGTCTGTGTGGTCAGTGTGCACCATATAAAAAAAATCCTGCAGCACGCAGTGCATGAGGAAAAAAAAAAATGACCATGTTTTTGGATTAAAACACCGAATTTGAGGTGTATTTTCCTATAGTACTTATTGCTGTATTCTCATTTTCATGGTCTCATTTGATAGAATGGAAAACATATTACAGAAATAGAGATGATTTTGATTAGTTTCACGATGAAAACGACCTTGAAATTGAGCTCGAAATAGCGGAAATGTTAGATTTTTACCAATGTTCAAAAGTAAGCAAATCACAACATACGTTCAATACACATCAACTGGGGAGTCTAATATTCTTTCACTAGTGCACTGACATTATTTATACCATTTTTACAATAATGCAGTATTCTGCATAACAGTAAATCTTCTATTTTTTGTGTGAATAAAAATTCAAAATAGAAAGCAAGAGTAATATAAGAGGGGCCTGGAGACATGACTAATGAACAGAGGATATGTTATTTTAGTGCCAAGAATGTCTGCATTGTTTATTCTGGACCCTATTTTGAAATTGGAATCCTTTTTAATTTGCATGAAACTGGCATCCTTTTTAATTTGCATGAAATTGGCCAAATTGCCAATTTCTGACCACTTTATTGGGTAGTTGAAATCGGTAAATGGGTGGTTTCTTGTACTTAATTGATAGAAAAAATGCAGTTCTAAAGAAATAGCTATGAGTTTGGTCAACTGGAACAATGGAATTGGCCGAAAATAGGGCTCAAAGTTGGCGAAATCGCCGATGCATTTATACCACCGAGTTTGCTAACTTCGCGGGAGCATAATTCTTTAAGTTTTCGATCAAATTTCATGCTTTTGGTGTCATTACCATTGGGAAAAGATTCTCTATCATTTCATAAGAATTTTTTTTTTTTTTTTCAAAAAAATTTTCGACACCAGGAGACACTTCAGGATTTTGGGTTGCGACAGTCAATGGGTTAAATGACTAAAATCTCTTGACCTCTAATGTTCACACACTTCTGGCAAGACAGCTATTAACCCTTTCAGGGTTGGTGCTGTACTAGTACGCAAAAATTCAAGCGCCTTCAAATCTAGTGAGAGAAAGCTGGTAGGCCTACATATGAAAGAATGGGTCTGCATGGTCAGTGTGTGCAGTTAAAAAAAAAAAAATCCTGCAGCACACAGTGCGTAATGAGAAAAAAACTCCAACTGTGTTTTTGGTTTAAGAAAGCGACTTAGCAGTGTACGGTGGTACCCCGAGTTTCGTACTGCTCCCAAGTGTATTTTTGGGAGTCTGAAACAGACTAATCTAATTTACATTATTCCTTATGGGAACAAATTCATTCAGTAACGGCACTCGAACAGCCTTCTGGAATGAATTATGTACAAAACTCTGGGTACCACTGTATTTTCGTATGGTATTTATGGTTGTACATATTCTCGTTTTCTTGGTCTCTTTGATAGAATGGAAGATATATTACAAAAATAGAGATGATTGTGATTGGTATCACGATGACAAGTACACGTACCTTGAAATTAAGCTCAAAGTAACGAGAATGTTCAAGAGTAAACAAATCACGCCACACATCCAATACACGTCAATTGATGAGTCTAATATTCTTTCACAAGAGCGTTGATATTATTTATCCTGTTTTTACAATGATGCAGTAGTATATGTAAGTAATGTAAGAGGGGCCTGGAGACATGACTAATGAACAGATAAAATGTTATTTTAGTGCCAGGAATGTCTGTCTTGTTTATTCTGGACCCTATTTTGAAATTTGTGTGAAATTGGCAAAATTGTCAATTTCTGACCACTTCATTGGGTAGTTAAAATCGGTGAATGGGCAGTTTCTTGTACTCAATCGATAGAACAAATGGAGTTCTAGCAAAATCGCTATGATTTTAGTAGACTGTAACATTGGAATTGGCTGAAAATAGGGCTCAAATTGGGCGAAATCGCCAATGTGCAAATATTGCTGGGACCGCTAACTTCGTGAGAGCATAATTCAGTAAGTTTTCCATCAAATTTCATACTTTTGGTGTCATTACGATCAGAAAAAAATTCTCTATCATTTCCTAAAAAAAAATATTTTTTTTTTTCTGGAAAAATTTTCGACCCTGAGAACGAGTTTGGGAGAGGGCCTCTCGACCCTGAAAGGGTTAAACAAATAACTTTGGTGGGGAACATTTGATGTTGTAAAAAAAAATAAATCTTGCATCTCAAGTTGTGCAACAATAGGAGACTGAATCAGAAGAACCTAACTCTCATACAGGGATTCAAATATAAACACTTAGAGCTACATATGTAAGTCACATCAGTCAATTCAAGATTATGTGGCAAACTGAAATTCTAACCTTATGATAGTGCCTCAAGGATTCCAGCAAGGACATTTTAAGACCATGTACTATTTCATCAGCAGGATGCTGGAAGCTGACATGCGAGTACCACTTAGTAAGAGTCTGGTTGATAGATGCTACAAACCCAACTACTGATTCTCCTCGGCGAGTTGGATCATGATAAACATCAACACCACATACCTGGAAAACAAAACTATTTTAGAAAAGGTAATTGTATAAAAGGAGGTAGTAAGCTGGTAGACAGCAACTACTCAGGAAGGTACTACCATCCTGCTGAGTGTAAAACAGAAGCCTGTAACTGTTTTACATGATGGTAGCATTGCTGGTGTCTTTTTTCTGTCTCAAATATGCAAGATTTCGGGAACATCTTGCTACTTCTACTTACACTTAGGTCATACTACACATGCATGTACAAGCATATATATACACACCCCTCTGGGTTTTCTTCTATTTTACTTACTAGTTCTTGTCCTTGTTTATTTCCTCTTAATATTCATGGGGAAGTGGAACAGAATTCTTCCTCCATAAGCCATGCTTGTCATAAGAGGTGACTAAAATGCCGGGAGCAAGAGGCTAGTAACCCCTTCTGTATATATTACTAAAGAGAGGGAGACTATTTCCCAGTAAGAGTAGGCCTTAGACAAGATGTGTGATGTCACCATGGTTGTTCAATATATTTATTGATGGGGTTGTAAGAGAAGTGAATGCTCGGGTGTTGGCAAGAGGTGTGGGGGGTTACAAGATAAAGAATCTAACACAAGTGAGAGTTGTCACGGTTGTTCTTTGCTGATGATACTGTTCAAATGTAAACAAATGATATCATTGTCCAATAAATGTCCAACTAGCCATTCTAATATGCAGTTATGAATGGGTTGATGTTATTTATACAATTATTACAGTATTGCAGTAGTCTGCATAACGGTAAATCTTCTATTTTTTGTTTGAATAAAAATTCAAAACAGAAAGCAAGAGTAATATCAGAGGGGCTTGGAGACGTGACTGATGAACAAAGAAAATGTTATTTTAGAGCCAGGAATGTCTGCATTGTTCATTCTGGACCTTATTTTGAAATTGTCATATTTTTTAATTTTCGTGAAATTGACCAAATTGCAAATTTCTGACCACGTAGTTGAAATCGGTAAATGGGCAGTTTCTTGTACTCAATCGATAGAAAAAATGGAGTTCTAAAGAAATAGCTATGAGTTTGGTCAACTGGAACAATGGAATTAGCTGAAAATAGGGATCAAAGTGGGCAAAATCGCCGATTTGTAAATATCGCCGAGGTCGCTAACTTCACGATAGTGTAATTCCGTCAGTTTTCCATCAAATTTCATTTTTTTTTGGTGTCATTACAATCGGGAAAAGATTCTCTATCATTTCATAAGATTTTTTTTTTTTTTTTTTTTTTTTTTGAAATTTTGCGACACCGGGAGACACTTCAGGATTGGGGGTTGCGACAGTCAAGGGGTTAATGATCAATAGGATACCCATCGTTAAATCAGTAGCTTGGTTCATTTGCCAATCACAGGCAAGCCCACCAAAGTTGAAGCAATGTGGTTCACTTGTGGTAAGCACTAGCAGACTTGCCTAGCTGCTGGTTGAGCACGGTGCACTCTCTCTCGCTTCTGCTTTGCCATTTGTCACCGTGATGTACACTTACTACTCCATCTGTACATATTGTACACAGCCTTTGATATACCTTTACCTTTGAAGAGTTTCGAGAATTTCATTATTTTCGGAGCCCGGCTATGGGCCAGTCTCGTCTGGTGCTTGCCTGGTCATCCAGGTTGTTGCTGCCCCACATATCCATTACAGCCTGGTTGATCTGGCACCTGGTGAAGATACTTGTCCAGTTTCCTCTTTAAGGCTTCTACACTTTTTCCAGCCGTGTTTCTGATATCTTCTGGTAAGATGTTGAATAGTCTGGGACCCCGAATGTTGATACAGTGTTCCCTTATTGTCTCCACCGCACCCCTGCTCCTGACTGGGTTTACTTTGCACTTCCTCCCATACCTCTCACTCCAGTATGTTGTTATGGCAGTGTGCAAATTTGGGACCAGGCCCTCGAGTACTTTACAGGTATACATGTACAGTGGTCCCTCAATAATCGTCCATAATCCGTTCCTGGAAGTGGGACTATTATCAAAATGGACAATATATGAATCAATTTTCCCCATAAGAAATAATGTAAATTCAATTAATCCGTTCCTGACACCCAGAAATATTAAAACAAAAATTTTTTTTACATGAAATATAGATGTAGTACATAAACAATACAGTGGCATATGATGAATTAAACATTAACAGAATAACACTTACCTTTATTGGAGATTCTTCTTTGTGTATGGAAGACTGGAGAAGGAGACTGATTGGATGATTTACTGTTTGGAAGGGGAATCCCCTTCCATCAACACCTCGGGTACCAATTGCTTTTCTGGGGTTACTTCTCTTCTCTGTTTCTTAATGCCACTAGGACCACCTTGAGAGTCACTGGAGTCCTGTCTCGCAAAAAAACTGTCCAGAGAGCTCTGTTTCTGGCGTCTCTTTAAAACTTCCCTAAAATGGGCCAAGACTCTGTCACTGTACAAGTTGTCGATATGGCTTGCAACATCCTTCTCTGGGTGATGTTTCTCCATAAATCTTTCCATCCTACCCCACATTTCAAAAATCTCCTTAATTTCTGAAGAAGGCACCTTCCTCCATCTCTCTTCCTCCTCCTCCTCAGCAAGATTCTGAGCTATGATCTGTTGCTCTTCCTGTTTTGCTCCATTCTCTCTACATGTCCGAACCACCTCAACAACCCTTCCTCAGCCCTCTGGACAACAGTTTTGGTAATCCCGCACCTCCTAACTTCCAAACTACGAATTCTCTGCATTATATTCACACCACACATTGCCCTCAGACATGACATCTCCACTGCCTCCAGCCTTCTCCTCGCTGCAACATTCATCACCCATGCTTCACACCCATATAAGAGTGTTGGTAAAACTATACTCTCGTACATTCCCCTCTTTGCCTCCAAGGACAAAGTTCTTTGTTCTCCACAGACTCCTAAGTGCACCACTCACCCTTTTCCCCTCATCAATTCTATGATTCACCTCATCTTTCATAGACCCATCCGCTGACACGTCCCACTCCCAAATATCTGAATACATTCACCTCCTCCATACTCTCTCCCTCCAATCTGATATTCAATCTTTCATCACCTAATCTTTTTGTTATCCTCACAATCTTACTCTTTCCTGTATTCACTTTTAATTTTCTTCTTTTGCACACCCTACCAAATTCATCCACCAATCTGTGCAACTTCTCTTCAGAATCTCCCAAGAGCACAGTGTCATCAGCAAAGAGCAACTGTGACAACTCCCACTTTATGTGTGATTCCTTATCTTTTAACTCCACGCCTCTTGTCAAGACCCTCGCATTGACTTCTCTTACAACCCCATCTATAAATATATTAAACAACCACAGTGACATCACACATCCTTGTCTAAGGCCTACTTTTACTGGGAAATAATCTCCCTCTTTCCTACACACTCTAACTTGAGCCTCACTATCCTAATAAAAACTCTTCACTGCTTTCAGTAACCTACCTCCTATACCATACACCTGCAACATCTGCCACATTGCCCCCCTATCCACCCTGTCATACGCCTTTTCCAAATCCATAAATGCCACAAAGACCTCTTTAGCCTTATCTAAATACTGTTCACTTATATGTTTCACTGTAAACACCTGGTCCACACACCCCCTACCTTTCCTAAAGCCTCCTTGTTCATCTGCTATCTTATTCTCTGTCTTACTCTTAATTCTTTCAATAATAACTCTACCATACACTTTACCAGGTATACTCAACAACTTATCCCCTTATAATTTTTGCACTCTCTTCTGTCCCCTTTGCCTTTATACAAAGGAACTATGCATGCTCTCTGCCAATCCCTAGGTACCTTACCCTCTTCCATACATTTATTAAATAATTGCACCAACCACTCCAAAACTATATCCCCACCTGCTTTTAACATTTCTATCTTTATCCCGTCAATCCCGGCTGCCTTACCCCCTTTCATTTTACCTACTGCCTCACGAACTCCCCCACACTCACAATTGGCTCTTCCTCACTCCTACAAGATGTTATTCCTCCTTGCCCTATACACGAAATCACAGCTTCCCTATCTCATCAACATTTAACAATTCCTCAAAATATTCCCTCCATCTTCCCAATACCTCTAACTCTCCATTTAATAACTCTCCTCTCCTATTTTTAACTGACAAATCCATTTGTTCTCTAGGCTTCCTTAACTTGTTAATCTCACTCCAAAACTTTTTCTTATTTTCAACAAAATTTGTTGATAACATCTCACCCACTCTCTCATTTTCTCTCTTTTTACATTGCTTCACCACTCTCTTAACCTCTCTCTTTTTCTCCATATACTCTTCCCTCCTTGCATCACTTCTACTTTGTAAAAACTTCTCATATGCTAACTTTTTCTCCCTTACTACTCTCTTTACATCATCATTCCACCAATCGCTCCTCTTCCCTCCCGCACCCACTTTCCTGTAACCACAAACTTCTGCTGAACACTCAAACATTACATTTTTAAACCTACCCCATACCTCTTCGACCCCATTGCCTATGCTCTCATTAGCCCATCTATCCTCCAATAGCTGTTCATATCTTACCCTAACTGCCTCCTCTTTTAGTTTATAAACCTTCACCTCTCTCTTCCCTGTGCTTCTATTCTCCTTGTATCCCATCTACCTTTTACTCTCAGTGTAGCTACAACTAGAAAGTGATCTGATATATCTGTGGCCCCTCTATAAACATGGTATGAGAAGTGTTGTTCATATTGTTGATGAAATCAGTTACAGGCTGATCATCTGGTAGGCCAAGGTTGATATTGAAGTCTCCAGCTAAGAGAAGGTGGTGCTTGTTCATTTGTCTGTTTGTTATTAGTGCCTTTAGATTCTCACTGAAATTTGGTATGTTTGTGTGGGGTATCCGGTAAATGGAACCGATTGTTATAGGCGTCTTAAGATTTTTTACAGTAAAATTAGCAAAAGTGTATTCCCCATATTCATCACTAAAGCAAGTGGTGCTAATACAAGATAGCTGGTTAGAGTAATAGATTGCAATACCACCCCCAACTTGGTATGGTCTGCAATTGTGGATTGCTGTGTAT